AAAACGGTATAAGCTCTCCATAGCTCTGAGGACACCTGGAAATCTTGTCTTTGTTGTAGCTCATTTGATTTATCCCTACACAAACAGTGTTAAAACCACAAATTGCAGTTTTAGGGGAAGGTGCATACTGACTTTGGTAATTAATGTCAGTATCTCTGTCAAATTCAGAAATTGGTTTGTGTGTTCTGCCATCTAGCAGGTTTTGAGGGCATTCAGAGGAGAGATGGCTTTCCTAACTATGTTGATTCCACTGACTTCTCATCATATTTTGTTTATACAAAAACTCTAGGTTAGGCTGATATTGCAAGAAGTTGACATGAAAAGTTCACTACACATACCCCCAAGGGGTGCTTTCGAGTACTGCAGAAAGTACGTGACATTTTTTAAAATGTTAATTTAAAAAATATCAGTCATGCATCATTTCTAAAATAATTATTCTACAGTAAGTTCAGTAAAAATGTAAATGTGAGTTTGATAAACGACATTTTATATTCAACATTTCCCTTTTTCAATGCAATTGTCTGCAACTGCCGTAAACAGTCAATGGCCCTAAAATCTCTAGAAATGGTTGGTCACTGTAGAGGCCTCCCTGCCAATTGGTTGAACAGTTCAACAACTGTTATTGAATTGTTCAACCAATGCGCAAAAGTGGAACTTATCAAGAAAACTTTCAATTTTTTTTCTCAAAGAAAAATTCAATGTGCTCTTAGTATTATTGCAAGATGATAAAAAATGTGTTTGCCATGAATTAAGTGATGGATTCTAAACATTTGAAATGTAGCATATTTGTGTTTTGCAGGTGGTGCTATACTGTACCTCTTTTATACAACAGTACTTGTGAACAACTGCACTGGAGTATTACATTCCCCAAAGCTGGATGACCCCTGCTTCGAAACTCCTTCTGGCACCACTGATTTGTGTGTAGGCTTTGTTCACTTTCAACAACAACAAGAAAAAAGTAAGTGATGTATTTCTATGAAAAATTAAGTCAAGTATAAAATTTCCCTGGCAGGGGATTGTATTGAGTTCCCCAGACCTTGGCAGGCAGGACAAAAACTTCATTTCAGATGCAGGATACAGGCCCACACAGTATGGTTGTTTATCTGACCCCTGTTCAGGGCAGAGAGATTTAGACTGACTGACCACGCATAGATGCAGTCTACACTTCAATTAATCAGATTCGGACAATCGTAGATTACTGGCAGCACATGCACATCAACAATTTGCCCATCGACCTAGATCCCGGAGCTCAGGTGGCCTGGAAAGGCAGCATTTACACGCTGTATGAAACAAACATCATGGACCATGTGCTTAGAAGAACACATGGAAAATGTACATACCGCAAAACATGATACACTATTTGACTATTTGAAGAATCTGATTGCCTTAAACTGTTGGAGTTTATGAACTCAAACAATTAAACTATGAATGAGCAATTTAATTTACTCAAGTATTTTTTGTCAAGGTAACTTGGGTAAATTAAGTTTATTTGAAGTTAAAACTAGTATTTATATTACACTCTTATGCCGAAATGTTTGGGCTTATCTTGATTAACAAACTGAAAGAAAAACAAAAATTGAAAAATCTTATACAGTATCTATATACAGTAACTATACAGCATCCATTTTTGTAATGACATCAAGTTAACTTCAGGCAAATGAGTCAATAGAACAAACTGGAACAATATCACCAATACTTAAAATGCTGCACTCAAAATAACGAAGTTCCTTCCACAATTATTTTTTGAGTTAGGTTCAATTCATTTGAATGAGTAACTGTAAGTTTTTACAGTGCAGTTGAGCATTGCAACACACGCTAAACTCTGACCCCTGTTGCCACCACAGCATCAGAGAGATTATTCAACAATCGTTCTATATTGTATGCTGGGATACGTCTGATTATTAAAAAAACAAAAGGAGAAGCACTAGGAGGAGCCAGTGGAACCTGATTTTTTTTTTTTTACAGATTATCTGTCTCTTGTTCTACTGTCAGGATATAGTAAAAGTTTCAGCAAATATCTACTGCAGCTTTAAATACCGCCAAGATCTCTGGTTATGACAGGCGAGTTAGCTGATTGGTCCCTGCTGCCACTCAGATGCTTTAGGAGAAAGGATCATCTTTTCAAAATAAGGTGGTTGGGTAAAGAGTAATCATCACCGATGCTTGTGAGTTGAATTTAATCAATGGCAACAACAAAAAAATCCATATATTATGTCTTAACTAAACAGACATTTTCCACTCATCTATATTCCGTCACTGTGTGACACACAGGAGACAGGAAAGTGTCTCTGTCTTCCCATGGGGCTGGAACGCCTGAGAAAGGAACACAGACGCTGATCATTAAGTTTACTCCTGAACAGCAGCAGCAGTGTTTAACATTGTGTTACATGTTTGCCGAGCAGTAATGGCGTCCTCACCTCAGCTAATAGATGATAATTATATACAGCAGCTGAGGTGAAGCTAACAGGAAGATGGTTCTTTAACTAAATAATAGTTAAGAATAGGCTTTTCAAAGTGGATATGGGCTTATCTTGTATAACTCATGAAGACATTACCTGTGGATCATGTCAGCCATATAAATGAAGGGATAACCATAACTGGCTACTCAGTGCAATCCACACTATACTTAATAATAGGATTGCATTAGTGATGGAAATGAATGACCAGCAAAGGACCATGGGAAATTAAAGGGCATTAATAATTGAGCCAGCAGTGTCTCTTCTTCCAGCAGTATGGCTCCACTGAGACATTGCTTCCCATAATTCCCATGTGGAATGATGTCAGAGCGGCAAAGAAAGAAAAAGTCATTACTGTCTGCCTGTGTGTGTGTGTGTGTGTGTGTGTGTACTGCTAATGTGGCTGTTAATGTGGCCTATCAAAAAGCACTCTGGCTGTTCAAACATGGTGTAAATCAAATTAACATGGCACACCTCTGATGATGATCATTTTATATTTGCATTGATCTGCCACTGTTTGAACACAAAGTAATTAGCACAATTTGTGTTGCTACACTCTGTGTAACATTAGATTGGATGTGATCAATTTTCTCAGTGGCAGCACCCACCAGCATGACTGGGTGGATGGTGCCTTGATTTTCCATTAGAAACCTTATTTAGTTGAAAACATGCTCCATTTAAAGGGGCCCTGTGAAGTTTTACTGAAAACAAAGAAAAGTAATTTTTTGCTTTATGACATCATGGCTCCATAATCCACATGCCTTCCCAGAGAGAGTGTTTCAGAAATGGAGTGTCTTCCCTCTCCATGTTGTTGACTTGTGCATTTTGTCCTTAATAAGGATACAAAACGGTGTGTTTCTCTTCTGAAAGTTCCATTTGCCTTCAGTCCAATGACCAACAAAGCTGCTATTCCACAATAAAGTTCAGTTTATTGCACTATTGTATATAAAACTATTAATGTTTTATTGTGTTCTGTACGTTTAGGTAAATTATTAAGCTGATCCAGGGAAAAGTTTGATGTACATAGTAATTTCATCAACAGCAAATACCTCACATACTACTCTGCTTCTGTGTTGGATATTAAAAGCACATACAGTATGTACAGTGTGTGTAATAAGAATAATAAGCCTTTCTCTCTTTTCTTTTGGACTGCCATAACTTGTTTTAAAAGCAACACACTCATTCCTGCACCTGGTTGATTCCATAAAAATGATATTCCTCGCTTATTGTTTTACTTTGCAGTACCAGGAGTGCAGGATCTAATCAGATCCCTCAGATTAGGCAGAGAATGTGCACTGAGCAAAATTGGAAAGGGGAACATTATCAGCATACATTAGACACCTAATGAACCACTAATATGTTATGAGTGTGCTTAAGGGGGACCCCCATTGTTTCAATGGCCCATCATTTCTAAACCTCAATTGTCCGAAAAATGTCTCATTGGACCGAAGGCCCATTGGTTCAACAGCTATCCCAAAAACAAATGCCCATTGCTCCGAAGGCCCATTGTTCTGCAGTTTCTTGCTCTTAATATCTTCTGACAAAATCAAAAAATAGTAGTAATGGGCCGTCGGAACAATGGCATTGCACCTGCTGAAGGAGTTTGATAACCCCCTGCTGCATGAATATTTAGCACTGAGCACAGATCATTTCAGACTGGTTCTGGTGGAGAATAAGTTAACCCACCGCCACCAATTTTTTTTTTTTCTTTATCAACTTTTGACCCCATACTTTATGATACTGCAATTTTGGTGCCCATTACAAATCAGTGAGTGAATTTCACTGTTACACCTTAGTCCTTGGTCAGGATCGGTAGCACTGGTCCTCCTACCTCCTGAATCACATTTCCCCATTGAAGATACTGACAACACACATAACTCTCTGCCACCATGGAAACCATGTATACACTGACATGGTATGACCTTTTCTAATTGCAATTCATAAATTGAGACTTGGTAGGAGGCAGAAAGAAACAAAGGGGACACACTGGCTGACATTTCCTTATCCACCCAAATGAGAAACAAGAATGGTACTCACCATGTCTTGGCTGTATAGGAACACTGATGTACAAATCAACCACATCTACTGACATCACAGAGAGGTCTGAATAAAAACACCCAATCAGAGCTGAGAAAGATAGAAAGATGCTTTGGGTTGGACGCTTGAAGATAGTTGATTGTTGAGTCTCATTACCAGTGTCAACCTAGGAATGAGACTCAACAATCAACTATCGTTCAGGCCTGGTGGATTCTTGCAAATGCTATTAGGAGCACTAGGAGGAGCCAGAGAACCCTGATTTTTTCACAGAGTATCTGTCTAATGTGCTACTGTCAGGATATAGTGAAAGTTTCAACAAATATGACAAAAGTTATTTTTTATAAAAGTTACCTACTACAGCTTTAAATAGACACACAATTAAGTGTCTTAGTTCATTGGAAGCCTCTTCAATTAGGCACATAATTACCAATACATTTTACTTGGGACTATTTTGTAACCAAAAATGCATTCAGGCAGAGTGAGAAAACTATTTCACGGCTGTTTTTAAATCACAGGGCGTGCTTTGCAGAGAGTTAACATGCGCCGAATTGAAAAGTGCATCATTAGGCTATATAGTAGTGTAGCCTAACCATTTTAATTTGGTGAGGCACGTCCTCTTTCCGCCAATACACAAGAAGGCACTTCTTCAAGAAGGTGCGCTTTTTGAAATGGGATTCGGCATGAATGTGAGCATGAGATCTACTGCTTCTGAAGCTGACACTACCGGAGAGGACCTAGTAAAATGTTCTAAAACGTATCCATTGTGAGAAAGTACGTCTGTGCACCTACAGAGTCAGGTCTGGGAGCGCAGCTGCTCCAGCTGAGGCAGCAGCTCCTCGGCACTGGGTCTGCAGCGGCCCTCTCCGCTCCAGCACCGGCTCAACAGAGTCCTACACAGACGCCCTTGCTCGGACTCGAACACCGGGAGGTTCTGCACGCACGGCCGCAGGTTGTGCGCCACGACCGCGTAGAGCACGTGCTGCCTGTCGCCGGTGTAGGGCTGCTCTCTGCTGATCAGCTGCCACAGGGTGATCCCGAAAGAGAAGATGTCCGCTTTAGGAGACACCCCCTCGCCTTTCAGCAGCTCCGGGGCTCGGTGCGTGTACGTGCCGCCTACGTGGCTGAGATGTGGGCTGATGGGGCTCATTTCATACCCGCGGTCCAGTTTCAAAGAACAGCCAAAGTCGGCAATTTTGCAGACGTCCTCACTGGACACCAGCACGTTGGCTGGTTTTATGTCCAGATGCACAACGCTGTGGGAGTGGAGGAACCGCAGGCCGTGTACAATGTCTGTGGAGTACCTGAGCCACCGGTCCTCCCCCAGCGGCTCTGCACATCCGTAAATGATCTGCTGCAGATTTCTGCTTCCCACGAACTCCATCAGTATCGTCCCGATGCTGCTTTCATCTCCAAAACCCGCCGGTACGCAGGT